GTTTAACCATTGTTTATGTGTTACAGAGAGTTTGACAGACTGAGGGCTCATGCACTCACCCTCTGGCCTGAACGATAAGCTCTTGGACGTTGCCTTGATATGTAGCATTTGTAGCACCAGTGCTTTTCTCTTGTGCCTATTTATATATACAGAGATTCTATATTCTTAAATTATTTCTTTAAATAATTTGAAGCATCAAAGCATGACGTAACCCCACTAAATATTTTAAAAAATATTTGTACTTTGGTGCTAAATTCTTGTTTCTAAACATGTTGAAAGCTTTACGGATGATTCTGTGTACTTTAATTTCAAATAACATCATAAGATCAATAATTCTGTTTTTCACTGATGTGAAAATTCCAACCCCCCCCCCATTTTGTTTCATATTATATTTCTTATGAATTATTTTTAATATTTATTCATTCTTTTTTGGAAATGTTGCCCATTTTATTCACTGAAACCTGCTAAAAATCTGTTACAATTACAACTGATATGTATGTAGCAGGTATTTGTGCCTTTAAGAATTGTTTTATACAAGATCTTAAGCAAATTAAATTGAACACTAATCTGAAAGATCTCAATTCAATATTTTTGTCATATTCATGAAAATGCATTTTTATTTATTAATATTTATTCATTATTACCTGCAAATTTGACTCAACTCCATAACATTCACTGAGGGCTAAAAAAAATGTTGCTGTCCAGTGGTGCTGAAAGCACTGTTTGACAAGGTTGGGGTTTGATGCCTCTGAGTAATCAAATCAAGGAAAATTGACCCGTGTTAATGTCTTGCTGGAGAGACTTTTTTTTTCTTCTCTAAATCACCTGTTAGTTAAGAGCCTTTTTCTTTTTTATAGCACTATTTGCATGCTGTGCTCTTTGAGATAAACATTGCATAATCCTAAAACGTCATACTTATTTCAAGCTCTTTGCATTGCACACATTGCATTGTCTTTAAAAAATAATAAAAAAATAAGGACATAACCTCTTATCTACTTCAGGAACACAATCAAGCCAGACCGAAGGAAGGCAAAATGGCCGCAGACCCATTTTAACTGACAGCTGCTCTTCTGTAACAAAGGTCATTTCAAATGCAAGCAGGTCCATTCATTTGATTTCCTCCACATCTTTCAGAGTGCTGAATGTAATTATCGTCCCTCCATCTAGCGTCCCTAGGGAGCCCTTCCCCCTCCAGGCTCAGCTGTGACCAACCCTTCGGCCCTCCCCCCACCTGAACATGTGACATTATCCTGTCCCGCCTGCCTGTCCCCACCCACCAGTACCTAGCCAGCTGTAGGACTTCCATAATCTCCACACAGTGTTTGATCCAGGATCAGTCACCATTGACTCCCGTTTCAGCCTTATAATAGAAAGTAAAAACACAAAACCAATTGGGACTTGTATAACAACAACAACAATAATAATAATAATTATTATTATTATAATTATTATTATTAATTATTAATTAATAGTTTAAACATATAACAATATTTAAATAACATAATATATAAGTAATAATAATAATCACCATAATTCAATAGATAATTATATATTTAAAATTGTATTGTAATTTTTAATTATTATTATTATTATTATTAGGCAGGTAACAATAAATAAATATAATAACAACAATATTATTATTGAATAATAATAATAGTTACAAATTATTGTTGTTGTTGTTTATTTATTTATAGGTCTGTCTCCCAAATCAGGTGATATCCCATCCCATTATGGGATATTTAGCATGTTTTAATGATGAGATATTTTCAACTGTCTCAGAAAAACAGCCACGTTACTGAGGTTTTCATGATGAAATCATAGCCAAAGGACAGAGTCAGTCCACTCCGAATAGAAAGACACTGCATCATCACAGATGGTGCTTGAGGGCTTTGATTGCACTCAGTCAAGTACCTGCCTGTAAGTGTGTGTGCAAGCTTTTGTTTGACCATATGTGCATATATATATATATATACAGTCGTGTGAAAAAGTGTTGGCCCCCTTCCTGATTTCTTATTTTTTTGCATATTTGTCACACTTAAAAGATTCAGATCATCAAGCAAATTTTAATATTACACAAAGATAATGCAAGTAAATACAAAATGCAGTTTTTAAATGATGATTTCATTTATTAAGGGAAAAAAGCTGTCCAAACCTACCTGGCCCTACGTGAAAAATTAATTGCCCCCTCCTATTAAATCATGAAAGGACTGCAATTAACCACATTATTTTAGAAAGCTGAGTTAAATTTCACTAGCCACACCCAGGCCTGATTACTGCCAGAGCTGTTGAATCAAGAAATCACTTAAATAGAACCTGTCTGACAAAGTGAAGCATGCTTAAAGAACAACACATCATGCCGCGATGAGAATCAAAACAGTTGACATGTATCAGTCTGGAAAGGATTATAAAGCCATTTCTAAGGCTTTGGGACTCCAGCGAACCATGGTCGGAGCCATTATCCACAAACTGAGAAAACTTGGAACAATGGTGAACCTTCCCAGGAGTGTCCGGCCTACCAAAATTACTCCAAGAGCACAACGACGACGGGGCTGCTTTGCAGCTTCATGACCTGGATGACTTGCCATAATTGACGGAACCATGAATTCTGCACTCTATCAGAAAATCCTGAAGGAGAATGTCCGGCCATCAGTTTGTGACCTCAAGCTCAAGCGCACTTGGGTTATGCAGCAGGACAATGATCCCAAACACACCAGCAAGTCCACCTCTGAATGGCTCAAGAAAAACTAAATTAAGGATTTGCAGTGGCCAAGTCAAAGTTCAGACTTAAATCCGATTGAGATGCTTAAACAGTCCATTCATGCTCGAAAACCCTCCAATGTGGCTGAATTAAAACAATTCTGCAAAGAAGAGGGCCAAAATTCCTCCACAGCGATGTGAAAGACTCATTGCCAGTTATCGCAAACACTTGATTGCAGTTGTTGCTGCAAAGCGTGGCACAATCAGTTATTAGATTTAGGGTGCAATTACTTTTACACGTAGGGCCAGGTAGGTTTGGACAGCTTTTTTCCCTTAATAAATGAAATCATCATTTAAAAACTGCATTTTTTTATTTACTTGCATTATCTTTGTGTAATATTAAAATTTTGTTGATGATCTGAATCTTTTAAGTGTGACAAACATGCAAAAAAATAAGAAATCAGGAAGGGGGCCAACACTTTTTCACACCACTGTACGTGTCCTCAGTGGTGTGTGCATTTCAGTTTAACATGTGTTTGTATTCATGCGTTTTAGACTGACTGAGTGCTTTGCAGGCTTGAACTAGTGGATGGTCACGGATAGCCTAAAGGCTTGGCTTCTGTTTCTGAATGTGTGTTTTATTCTCCAGATGGTAAATATGATCTGTTCTACTGCTTTTGCTGTAGCTAGTTTAACCTGTGAAATTCAGCATTTGTTTATTTTATGGCAGAACACATCACAAAAAAACACCTACTTTACCTGCATCTAATTTGAATACAAAGCCCCGCCTTGTGTAGGAGACCCAGGCTTCTTGACCCATAAGCAATAGCCCTTAGCCACAATGCCCTTCCTCCACAAAAATGAACAGAATGATGGGGAGAAAAAAATGCAAAAATTTGTCAACATGAATGTTACTGCGGAATTTATATAATAAAAGAATGTTACTATGATTAAGCTTTAAAGGGGTCATATGATGCTGCTAAAAATAACATTATTTTGTGTATTTGGTGTAATGAAATGTGTTTATGAAAACACATTATTTTCCACATACTGTACATTATTGTTTCTCCTCTATGCCCCGCCTTTCTGAAACGCGTCAATTTTTACAAAGCTCATTGTTCTAAAAAAGCGATTTGTGCTGTGTTTGGCCAGCCATCCAGTGTGTTGTGATTGGCCGAATACCTCAAGCGTGTGACAGAAATGTTACGCCCCTCACCATACTGTGATGATGCCCTGTCAGGCCGGAGTGATGATTTAAAAACATGAAAACCTATTATAAACAAGGCATTCGTTGTATACTGAGAGAAAGGAAAAATTTAAATCGCATCATATGACCCCTTTAAGTAATGAAAATAATAATGGCAATAACAACATGAAATGAAAATTTGCAAATGCTCCCTTAAGGGGCTATTTCTATCCAATCTGATCCATATAATTACCCTGTAGATGTAACCTAATGTAGTCAGGTTGATTAAGTAATAAGCCAGATAATTGCGGTCACATGAAACATATTTTTAGCTTACCTGCCCTTTTGAACCTTCATATTTTTCAGTGTTGTTTAGTGATAGAAATGTTGCTTTAAATTTATTATTATTGTTATTATTGTCATTAAATTGTTGTTGTTGTCATTATTATTTAGCCTACATGTTATTATTATTTGGCCTACATTGTTTAGAGATGTATCATGTCATAACAATATATTTTTAAATATTCCGCCCACAAACTATAATAATAATAATAATTAGTTTATTATTATTATTCATTGTTGATTAAAAATGATGATTGATTATTAATAATTTGTTATATACTATATATTTTTTAAATATGCCGTCACCCCAAACTATAATAATAATAATAATAATTTATAATTATTCATTATATATAATTGTTGATAAAAATTATGATTGATTATTCGAAATAATAATAAAATTATTATTATTGTTGTTGTTGTTTGGAGAAAAAAAAGATTAAATACATGATACAGATTAAATACTAACACGTGATACATTTCATAATAATGTAGGCTGTATTAAATAACTATATTAAATGACAACAGCAACTATTAATTATTATTATTATTATAGTTTGGGGACGACGGCATATTTAAAAAAAAAACTAAGATTAAAGGCATGATACAGATTAAATACTGACACATTAAATTGCAACAGCAACTAGTATTATTATTATTATTATTATTACTGTTGTACTTTTTTACAGAAGAAAAAAAAAAGCATATACCACTATGTGTGTGAAACAAAATAATTTAGTGAGTCTCTGGGGGATATAACGCTCCCCTCCTCCGCCATGTGATGACGGACAGACTGTATCACCGGAGCGATGCTTGAAGTCACTCTCATCAGCAACAAAGCGAAGCAACAGCAGCACTGACGTAAACCATCCACCACATCACCGGAAACATACGGACCCGAACCGACACCATATCGTCTCCTCCGCAGGACGTTTAGGATGGAAACGGAGCGCTGAGAGAGAGACTGGGATCGTGAGGATGCTCGGACTCCAATTCACGGCAACGTTTGAAATGCGCGTTAAATGGAGACTCATGACGAGAGATGCTGCAGGGTGCCGCATTGCCTGGCCGCTTGACGATGGTAGGATAGAGCAGCGCTTTTAACCGTGATGCTCGTTCTTAGATGCTTTCGGGGTGGGATTTGTAGTCGATTGAACGCCTCAGATTTGATCATACGCAAACTAAGACGATTTCAGCCTGCTTAAGCCATACGTGCATATACACGTATACAATCGATGAGCACGACCAGATGAATGTATGTGAATTTACGTTGCAGAACAAGCATTAATAACCCCACAATACAGGTGAACTCAGATGGAGTATATGAGGTGAACTAACAGTGTCGTAGCTTACACTCAGGACCATCTCCAAAGTCAGGTTTTTATTTGCAAGCACTGCAGCGATAGGGCTCTTTATGATTGGTATTTTCATCATCAGTCACATAGGGAATATATAGTGATAGTATATAGAGTACAGTATAGTCAGTCTTGGTCCAGTGCAAGGACAATGACTCATTTACAGGCAGGCCTGTCTCCAGAAACCCTGGAGAAAGCCAAGGTGGAGTTAAAGGAGAACCCCGACACTTTGCATCAGGACATACAGGAGGTGAGGGACATGATCATCACCCGTCCAGACATTGGCTTTCTCAGGACAGATGATGCTTTCATCCTGCGCTTTCTTAGAGCCCGGAAATTTAACCATTTCGAGGCCTTCCGCCTCCTGGCCCAGTACTTTGAGTACCGGCAACAGAACCTAGATATGTTCAAGAACCTCAAAGCCACCGATCCGGGGATCAAGCAGGCTCTGAAGGATGGATTTCCCGGGGTTCTGTCCAATTTGGATAGATACGGGAGGAAGATTCTGGTTCTGTTCGCAGCAAACTGGGATCAGAGCAGGTAAGGTGCTATTGGATTTTGGCTAATCGTGGGTAATGACGCACACTGTAAGAGCTGTCTTTTCAGCACAAGTCTTCTATCATTCACTAGAGCATGATGTTGAGCCATTACTGGATGTGAAGTGTTACCTTTTACTTAAACTTAACATTACAGTGTTACACATATTCCATGTTATTATTTCTATATGGGTCAATGACAAATAAGGATCCGAGATGTTAAAAAACTAATTCTTAGAAATGTAATGTTGGTTTCATATACTTTTAAAGAACATTTATACAATTTCCTACAGCAAATTTGATTTACCATTCCAAATGATGGTGTCCGCCAGTTGACAGAACTTTAAGAGACATTTTAACCATTGAGGGTGTGATCTTCCAAGACTGACCCCTGATGACCTTTGACCTGACCCAGTATTTTACATGGTTATCCTTTACATTGTGTTTTTATTTACAGTATGACAACATAAATGCACCAAGTACTTGTGGAATATTTGCTGTCATCTTCTATTTTAAAGAAGTGATCAAAATCTCAAAATGTACTGTCTTATTTAAAAATAAATAAATATGACCTTGACATACAGTCATGACAGTTTAAGGGTCTCTGGTTTGTTGTCACATGACAAAATAGCTACATGGATGTAAAACACACTGACTTTGATTAGGCAAATAGGAGGTATTTATGCATTTGGTAATGCATTTTTGAACCGTTGATCCAGACTAAAGCAATTTTACCCATATATAGCCTCATTTAGTAATGTTTCAGCTTAGTGGTTAACAGCCATAGGCTTGGCTGAGAGTTCAGATCCAACAAGGGTTAATCTATCATCTATGTGACCTTGAGTAAAACACTTCATCCCAGGTTACTCCAGGGACAATGTCCATACAATAAATGCACTGTAAGTGTTCTACTAAATGACACATTATGAAATCAAATAAATAATATTTCTTAAAGTGTAATCAAGCTATTTATTTCATCAGTAAGTGTATTGTGGGTTGTGTGTATCAACTGTAACATAAATACTAGTATGTGAGCTTAAATGTGGCCTAAAGTTCCTTTACTTCCTTTGTAACTCAGCATGAATTTATACCACAAATCCAAGACTTCAGTAAATATACAGTGGCCTCAACAATCTTTGGACAAATAAAGGAATAATTCACCCAAAAATGAAAATTTGCTGAACTTTTTTGACCATTCTAGATATATTAGTAGATTAGTTTGTTTCTTCACTGGAACAGATTTGTAGAAATGTAGTATTACATCACTGGCTCACCAATGGATCCACTACAGTGAATGGGTGCCATCAGTATGAGAGTCCAAACAGCTGATAAAAACATCACAATAATCCACAAGTAATCCACACAACGGCAGTCCATCAATTATCATTTTGTGAAGCAAAAAGCTGCATGTTTGTAATAAATCCATCATCAAGATGTTTTTAACTTCAAACGGTTGCTTCTGGCTAAAATATGAGTCCTCTATCTGTAATATTGCTTTCTCCAGTGAAAAAGTCACCTTGTCTAAGTTAAGAGAGGAATATGCACATATCAAGTATACTTACCAGTTAAAACACTCCAACACCATTCTAAACAAATACTTTGGTGGATTTTGATTTGAGAAGACAACAGGGGATAGACTTTTTAACTGAAAGAAGCTAACAAATAAACTATCGACATATTTTGGCCTGAAGCAACATTTTAAAGTTAAAGCGTCTTGATGGATTTGTTTCTTACAAAGATGCAACATTTCACTTAACAAGATGGACTGGAGTCATATGGATTAATTGTGGATTATTGATGTTTTCATCAGCTGTTTGGACTCATTCTGACGGTACCCATTCACTGTAGAGAATCCATTGGTGAGCAAGTAACGTAATACAAAATTTCTCTAAATCTGGTCTGATGAAGAAACAAACTCATCTATATCTTGTTTGGCCTGATGATGAATAATTTTTCAACACATTTCAATTTTGAGGTGAATTATTTTTAGTTAAATAATTTTTCGAACAAAAAGCTCAGGTATTTTGTAAATTGTATAATAAAATTGTACAATTTGAAGTGTCAAAATTTTGGGGGGGTAAATGGCAAATATATGCTTTCATTTGTTTAGGCACCGTGCATTGATGTATAAGATTGCTTAAATGATATATGTATTTCTTCAAATGTAATTTGTTTTTATGTTGTGAGAAATCATGCCGATAACTGTTGGCGTTTACTCTCACCTCTTTGGACTGGAGAGTACATAGTGCTCGAGTCCATATCAAACAGCTTTTGAATTAATGCCAGTCACACTATTGCCTCAGATGGCAGGGCTCTTGGCATCCTCTCACAGGAACAATGTGTGATGAACACTAGGGTCAAGTCGTGCCTGATTTGCTACATTTATTGCAGCATTATGGGAAATGTAAAGCCCTGTAGAAGTTTAAATACAAATTCTGACTACTACGAAGCAAACTTAGTAACTATATGAGAAAATGTCATGTGTCATTAAAAAATAGTGCACATTTAGAGTTTGTTTGCAAATCTTCTTAAAGGCTTGTGTTTATCTGCAGGTACACTTTTGTGGATATTCTGCGAGCTATTTTACTTTCTCTGGAGGCAATGATAGAAGACCCCGAGCTACAAGTAAATGGATTTGTCTTGATCATTGACTGGAGTAACTTCACTTTCAAGCAAGCTTCCAAGTTAACTCCAAGCATGCTGAGATTGGCAATTGAGGGCCTGCAGGTAACACTACTGTCTGTTTTTAATCTAATGTTTATATCGAAAAATCAACATGGATATCACAATGCATTCTTGTACCTTCATGCATCTAAATGGGTGTTCTTGGAAGCAATGGAACATCAAATATGTAATGTTCATGAAGTGTGCTTCAGGCTTGAATAATGAGAACTGCGTCATATTGATCAAACTAAAAAGCAGCCAAAATGGCTGGATGTGCAAAAAAGAGCAATGCATTGGGAAATGTCTATAGTGTGTGCTAATAGTTTGGAGGTATTCAAGTTCTTTTTATATTAGTAAGCATCTTTTCTGAGATCCATTCTCTTTCATTGTAATGAAGTAAAACACATTTTTGACATTTATTAGTGGTGTTCAATAAGCATCACTATTATAATTGCTCATACTTGGGTATAAGGATTTAAATAAATCCTTAAAGGAATAGTCCTAATTTACTCACCCTCATGCCATTCCAAACCTTTATGACATAAAAGAAGATATTTTGAGAAATGTCTCAGTGTTTTTTGTTCATATAATTAAAGTTAGTGCAGTCCAGTTTTGTTTTAGACCCCGTTGATTTTCACTGTATGGACAAAAATAGTTGAAATTTCTTTTACATATCTGTTTTTGTGATATGCGAATGAAAGAAGTACAGACTTGAAATGTCATTAAAGTAAATTTGATGGCATTTTTAGCGAACTATACCTCATGCCATTTTGTTTGTGTTACCTGAAATTTGCAGCTTATTGCATTCTCTTAATTTTCTAAGAGTCTGGACCAACATTTTATACCTTGTGGATGATAAAACGAGCAAAACTGTCCCGCAGTGACCGCAGTGTTGACCGCAACCGCAGTCCGATGACCGCAGTGTTTTGCACATACACTCACATTGCATAAAATGTACAACTTCCAATATTTTAACATCATTACTAAACATAACCGAGCAGCAATAGTCCATTGTGCTATAAAATGGTCACTGTGCATTTAACAATAGCTAATCTGCACACAGACATCATCCATTTCCAGAAGCAGCCTCTTGAAAGCTCTCATTTAGACATCGCTCCTTTGAGGAGGGCTTGGGTCTGATATGACATGTAGGCAGTGCAGAGTGAGGCCTGTTGACTGAATATTAATGCGGGTCCATGATGAGCCTATTCCACATTCCAGTGCCTCTTCAGACAGATTAGCTGGTGAATAATTGATCGCCACCATTAGCATCTTGCATCCACAATGTGCTGTTCACATTGAGTGGGACATCTCTTTTGTAGCCGTTTGAAAGGGAAACAATAGCGTAGATTGAGGGAAAACAGCCACAGCTAATTAGTTACAGTTCAAAAGAGTCCTCAGCAGCAAGCTTGTCAGCAGAAGTCAGGATTTACATATGTAAATATTTACAGGAATCCAGATTTTTTTACTTTTTGATCAGATTTGCATGCATAAAAATGTACAAAGAGTGACTTAAATGGATTCACAGATATACACTACTGTTCAAAAGTTTGGGGTTAGTATGATTATTCTTTTTAAAAAGGAATTAATGCTTTTATTCAGCAAGGATGCATTAAATTGATCAAAAGTAAAAAGTGATTAATCGCATCCAAAATAAAAGTTTTTGTTCACACAGTATATGTGTGTGTACTGTGTATATTTATTATGTATATATAAACACACGCCCATGCATGTATATATTTAAGAAAAATATGTTACGTTTATATAATAAATATTTATATATAATATAAATTATATGGATATAAATATGTACATGTAAATACATGTAAATATTTTCAAAATACATACTGTAGGAGACGTAGGAGAATTCCAATAGACAGTCTTTAATAATCCCACACAGGACAGGCAGGAAAACACACGTATCACATAGGGTTGACATTTAACACAGCATGCTAGACACAGGAAACACTGGGTTTAAGTACACGACTAAACGAGGGGATGACGAGACACACCTGGACTCAATGAAACAATAGGAACAGAAAGGAAACCAAATATGGGCATGTCACACACGAGGGACAACTAGGTCATGGAAGGCACATGGGGAGAAAAACACAACACAGACAGTCCATATTTCTGACATATCTCCCCCCTCCTGGAAGGTGTGTCCTCGCGCCGAAGAAACAACAGAAGGAGGGAAGGTTGGGAAGTTGGGAGGAGGCTCAGGAGGAGGACGGACACCCGGGAGGGGGCTGGCAGACAGAGTCCAGGGAGATGACGACGGGGGGAGGAGCCAAGGAGGAAACAGGAGGAGCCAGGGCAGATCAGATGGAGGGAGGAGCCAAGGAGGAAACAGGAAGGACTTGGAGCATGCGGCTCCAGGTGGGACCCAGGCCACAGCCATAATGGCGACCCACGGTGGAGCCGACGGAGGGAGGAGCCATGGAAGAGGAAGGGCTGACGACTCCAGGGGGCCGACCAATGGCGGCGGAGCAGGTGGCGGAGGAGACCGAGGTGGAGAGACGATGAACCAGAGAGCCAAGGCGGAGCAGATGGCTCAGGAGACTGATATGGAGGCAGGGATCCAGAAGGCCGCGGTGGAGCCGGAGCGACAGAGGACCAAGATGGAGCCAAAGGAAAGGAGGAGCCTGACGGGGACGGAGGGACGAGGTGCAGCTGGAGGAGTGGAGCCCCGAGGCGCAGGATGGTCAATGACAGACCAAGGCGGAGCCGGAGGGACGAGGGAGCCCGGTGGAGCCAGTGGCCCCGGCGGAGAAGAGGGAGCTAGGAGCCATGGTGGACCCGCTGGGTCGACAGGCTGAGGCGGAGCCCAGGGCTTAGAGGCTGGAGGCGGAGGCAAGGGATTCTCCAGCCACGGTGACGATGGAGAATGGCAGACCCGCGGAGCTCATACCGTACAGATGGTGGGCTGAGGGTGAGCAGAGGGGCTGCCAGACGACAGCGGTGGAGGAGGCAGGAGCAGGCCGGTGGGCAGGCATTTGTGAGCTCTCTCTGGGATGGACAGGGAAACAGGAGCCCTCTCTGGGCTAAACTCAGGAACGGGAGGGACAGAGGTCACCGACGGAGGAGGGAAGAGAGGGGGCAGGTCAGTATACAAGTCAATAAAGTCTTCCATTCACCCAAATCCCTTCTCAGCTCACCCTCAGCCACAGTGCAGGTGTCCACGGCTTTCTCTCTCGTGGCGGGCGTTATAGCCGGCTCTCGCACCTGGTCTGACACTCCGTGAGGCTCTGGCTCCGTGGCGATCCTCAGCTCTGTCGCACTCCTCGGTGATGGCTCATCAGTCACGACGGGCTCTGGCTCTCCATCGGTGGTAGGCTTGGGCTTGGGCTCCGCACAGCGGGGAGATGGTGGGCTGGGCACTGGGTCTGGCTGTGTTCTGGATCGGGGGTAGACGCTCTCCAGACACCGGATGATAGCCTCCCTCCAGCACAGTCCGGTGGTGTCTGGGAGATCGACGGGGCGGTAGTAGTTGGCCCCGATCCAGAACAGGGAGTTCAGAGCAGCGTCGTCGTTAAAATGGCCGTTAAAATGGCAAGCTGGCTGAACTCCACAGCATACTCCAAGAGGGAAAGGTCCTTGCGGGCGAGGGAGGTAAACTTAGCAGCGAGGGAATCCATGGGGAACACAGCGAAAACAGAAAACAAACACTGTAAAAATGCAAAAAAAAAAAAAAGGAGGGGAACAACGCAAATAAACTATTTTGTAGGTGCTGTGTTCTGCCACAACTGCTACTGCGGAGGAACGAGAAGACGAAGGAGTGCGGAGACGTAGGTGAATTCCAATAGACAGCCTTTAATAATCCATACAGGGGAAACACAGGACAGGCAGGCACACACACGTAGCACATAGGGTTGAAGTTTAACACAGCACGCTAGACACAGGAAACACTGGGATTAAGTACACGACTAAACAAGGGGACGACGAGACACACCTGGAATGAAACAATAGGAACAGGAAGGAAACAAAATATGGGCATGTCACACACGAGGGAAAACTAGGACATGGAAGGCACATGGGGAGAAAAACACAATACAGACAGTCCATATTTCTGACATATACACAGTACACACAGATATATTATGTAAATAAAAACTTTTATTTTGGATGCGATTAATCGCGATTAATCATTTGACAGCACTAATATAATATATATATATCAATTATTAATGCAACTTCAAAGAAAAATTGCATCATGGTTTCACAAAAATATTTTTCATCATTGATAATAATAAGAAATATTTCTTGAGCACCAAATCAGCATATTATAATTATTTCTGAAGGATCATTTGACACTGAAGACTAGAAAAATATCTGCTGAAAAAAAATTCAGCTTTGCCATCACAGGAATAAATTCTAACTTCAATGTATTACAACAGAAAAAAGTTATTTTAAATTGTAATAATATTTCAAATTTTTTACAGCATTTTTGATTAAATAAATGCAGCCTTGGTAAGAAAAAGAGACTTCTTTCAAAAACATTAACAAATCTTAACTTTTGAAGAGCAGTGTATGCTGACAGCATTTCCTAAATGCTTATAGGTCAGAAGATGAATGCTAGAATGAGAGGTGGGATGCCCCATGGTTGTATTTTGACACAGACCCACAGTATGTACATTGAGTCATTAAACATGACGTTTAGAGCCGGAGGGGAAATCGCACAGCTCTCCGACCCAAAAGTGCAGGGTCACGTGAAGCGTTACATCAATCTGATGGATGGCATTGTTCATATGGACATCTGCCTGTCTTAATCACCAATGTAATGAAGCATCAAAACCGTTTTTTGATGGCTCAGTGCTTTTTGGTGTTTTAGCTTAGTTTATTGTCATATCATTGAGTCAACACATATGACAGATAGATACAGAGTGACAGAAACAGTAAGAATAGAAGAATGTGGACAGAAGGAAGAGGAGAGAATATATAAAGTCCCTTATGTTCTCTGCTCATTTTAATTTTTTTTCTGTTGAGTCCATTTGATGAACTAGAATCTGTTGCTATTGAAAATGGCTTTTTTTTCTGGCAGAAACTATCATGTGTTTTAACAAGGTTGAAAAAAAAGAACTAATGGATTCTTCTCAGACATCTTCATGGTTTGCAGGCAATGGCCATTTTGTGTTATTTGAGGTAATATGTGTTTATTGTTCAATTTACAGTAGATGCATCTATCATATAAGCTCCCTAGCAAATGGTGGTTCAGAAAAGAACACTTGATGCACAGAAAATGGCTGTTCTTAGCAAAATCAATAAACAGAAACATACTCCTGAGTCGAATAGAGAAAGTGGTCTTGGCTTTCCTGGAGCAGTGCTTTGTTGTTCCAGCCTCTGTTGTTTGCTTCTGTGCTTTGGACATGCCTTTTGTCTCTCTTAGTCTTGAGAAATAACCCATGCTTGGCAGCCAATCACAATGGGCCAATCTTCCCCAGCCCACCCCATGCCGAGTTTCCCTGGCAACCTGTCCAACCGCCATGCTATGCACCCTCCAGATGGGCTGTGCTCACAGAGAGAGACGCACTCATGTCACTCAGCTACTGTGGCCGTATATGCGTGTTTCTATGTAGGGCACTGAAAGTGCATCTTAGAAAGCACAAGTTCATTGTGCTGACAGACTGACATGCATCACATTGTTGCATTCCCATAAAAAAGTCATTTTATTGCACTGTAAAGGTTTTTTACTGCTGAGACTGACAGTTGTTGGAGTATCAGCAACAATTATTATTATTGTTGTTATTATCATTAATAATAATAATAATAATATTTAAATTTTTATTTTATTTTATTTTATTTTTTGGAGTATCAGTAACAATTATTATTATTGTTATTGTTATTATTATCATTAATAATAATAATAATATTTTATTTTATTTTAAAGTTGTGTGTATGCAGTTTAATAAAAAAATGAATACAGACAACCAGATATAGTTAATTAAACCCAACTTGACTATTTTGATGAACTTTTTTGTTTTTATTGACATTTTTATTACACTGTAAGTTTATTATTATTATTATTATTATTATTATTATTATTATTTTTGCTTGTCTGGTGTCAGTTGTTGAAGTATCAGCAATGATTTTATTTAATATAATAATAATAATAATAATAATAATATGTTATTTATATAGTGCATTAAATTAAATTAAATTAAATTTTATTTTATTTTATTTTATTTTATTTTAATTGTTGGTATTAGTTGTGTACTTTTTTATTGCACTGTAAAGGGTTTTTTATTGCTAAATTAAATTAAATTAAATTAAATTAAATTTTATTTTATTTTATTTTATTTTATTTTAATTGTTGGTATTAGTTGTGTGTACTTTTTTATTGCACTGTAAAGGGTTTTTTATTGCTTGTCTGGGACTGATGTCAGTTGTTGGAGTATTAGCAATTATTATTCTACTTTAATATTACTATGAGTGCTGTTTTATTTTATTTTATTTTTTGGTAACTTATTCAACAGATAGATTTAAAGTCCTTTCAGTGGCACACGAGCATTACACCTTTGCCACAAGTAATGTCTCTTATAGAATGTAACTTCTCTTAAAGGGATAGTTCACCCAAAACTACAATTCTGTCATCATTTACTCATTCTCATTCATTTTTGGCTGAACTACGAAATAAAGGTTTTTAAAATAACCATTTTGTTCTCATTGCGCAAGAACATTTTAGTACTCTAAAGAACATTGGACATTGAATAAAGAAACTTTATTCTTAAGAGTATAGTGCTTTAAATTATTTCCAACACCAATGCATTCTTCTTAATTGGTGTTACCCAATCCAAAGAGATTTCATTCAAGTTCATTGTCTTTGCTTGAACATGTATGTGCTCAGGGCATGAGGTCTGTGCAATATTTATAGTGCCCAGCAGTCTTTGTCCCATAAGCAAATAGAGCAAAGCGTGATCCAGGGAAGAGGGCCCTTCCCAGTCCCTATTTAATCAACAGAGCAACTTGCACATGGAAAGAGTTTGCATCTCTTATGTCAGTTGGTTCGACTGGCTCATCTGGATGCTAAGTTCCACTGCTGCCTCCCAGAAAGCAGAGAGCTTCTATGCGTCTTGCTTATCTGGGAAACGGCACTAGACATATCTGGGCCTGCAGCACTGGAGTTAGACTAATGTATTTCAATCTTTCTGCTTTCAAATTTCATGTTTAATTCACTGCTACTTGCTGTTTCTTTGCAATTCATTTGTGGAATTTACTAGCAATTTTTTAGTTAAATCTACACCTTTTTAGTGTAGACTGCAATTCAGCTAGAACTGAGCCCCAGCTTAATCCTGAGAACTCGTGTCTGTTAACTTTTACATTTAATAATGCTTTTTCATCATTGCAGGATCAGACGATGTGAATTCTGAATTTTAGAATCCAGCAAGAGAGCATTATGGCAGCTTCCCCTCCCCCGTTACCTCTGTCTCCTCCCACTGTCACACTACAGGGGCACAGATCAATCGAGTTTCACCAGCTCACACCAGAGTTTAGCTATTCATGTTTAATGCAGCTGAGACCTTTATCTCGCTCAGTAGCAGCAGGGTCTCAGAGCAGAGATATCATCGTGTGTACTGACACCACCTGCTAGCAAATGCCTTATAGCCCCTCCTTTGAAGCACCGGCCAATCGGCATGCGTTTGCACCATCACTTGCTTCTGTGTCAGATCCAGTGCCAGATCTGCTGCCGGACACTGTCCTGTGGGCCGCGGTGGCTACGGCCCGCTTGCTTGCAGCTGTCCATCATCGGCATTACGCCAGTGGCACCAACAACACAGTTCTGTTATGATATGAGAGTCAATGAGAAGCAGTAAACAAGGCCATGATGTGATGATGGCACTGAATTAAAAAAATTGGGCATCTTGAGCACCAAATCATCATATGTGACCCTGGACCACAAAAAATGTCGCACGGTGTATTTAATAGCCAACAATACATTGTATGGGTCAAAATTATCTATTGCTATTTTATGCCAAAAATCATTAGGATATTAAGTAAAGTTCATGTTCCATGAAGATATTTTGTCAATATCCCACGTAAATATATCAAAACTTAATTTTTGATTAGTAATATGCATTGCATAGAACTTAATTTGGACTTTAAAGGCGATTTTCTCAATATTTAGATTTTTTGGCACCCTCAGATTCCAGATTTTCAAATAGTTGTATCTCGGCCAAATATTGTCCTCTCCTAACAAAGCATACATCAATGGAAAGCTTATTTATAGCTTTCAGATGATGCATAAATCTCAATTTTAAAAAATTGAGCCTTATGACTGGTTTTGTGGTCCAGGGTCACATATTAGAATGATTTCTGAAGGATCGTGTGACACTGAAGACTGGAGTAATGATTCTGAAAATTCAGCTTGTTTGGCATCACAGGAATAAATTACATTTTAAAATATATTCAAAAAAGTCTCAATATGACTGTTTTTACTCTATTTTTTGTTCAAATAAATGCAGCCTAAGCATGAGGAGCTGCTTTCTCATGACTTAACTAGATACAAGTTTACATTCTGTAACCTGGGACTTGTAAGTCTTTACCGTCATTACTTACGTCTTGATTTTTGTGAGCTTAGCGAACGACCGCAAGACAGCATCATTATGAAGCTTCCCGGAACCCTTGCAGTCAGCTTTATGAATATGGATTACTGTTCAGGGCAGATTAGTGAACACAGCAAAGTATTTATCAACTTCAGCAGTGTGATATCAGGAGAAATGGGAATTATGCCCGCTTTTTGGTGTAATCCTCTGTGGAATCATGAACTTGTCTCAAGGTACTACAAATGAGCATCAGTAACTCTTAAATCTAAGGTTGTGTGGGGAGAGGTGGTCATTGGTGTCACGTAATCTGATTTTATTCTCCTCACAAATCCTAGCAATTACAAAATATGCATAAACATTCATTTACATAAAATTACACACACTGTACATTTTCAAGTAGTAAATACAACAAGGATTATTGGAGTATATTTTACAAGAATATACTATTTCAGTTTCTCTACTTCAAAATTTCACAATTCTGTGTGTTGTTTCTTATGCTCTACTAGCAATTTCTGAGTGAAAATTGTTTATACCACCATTTTTTTCAGTGTACAGTCTGGTTTAATTTTAAGCAAAAGTGAGTGAACTAGTTAAATGTTTTATTTTATTTTATTTAATATTTCATTTTAATTGATTTTATATTTTATTTCATTCTTTTATTTTCAGCTTTATTTCAGTTATTCTATACAATTTTTTTATAGTTTTAATTGTAATTTGAAAGTTTGATAAAATATTATTTATATAATAATATTTTATAAGTATGTTAAATATGATAATAAATTTAGTTTATTTATTTTCTCTACTACCCACAGGATAGCTTTCCAGCAAGGTTTGGAGGGATTCATTTTGTCAACCAACCTTGGTACATCCACGCTTTGTACACAGTCATCCGGCCTTTCCTCAAGGACAAAACAAGAAAAAGGGTGAGAGTACTTTTTAATTTTCAGACTTTTCTGAAATCAGTTTTATCACATATAATTGTTAACTGTTCTGTTTATGTACATGTGATGTGATAAACACTAAAATATACAGGCTTTTAATGTTCATGCAAAAAAATGCACAATGCAATGCCACAGAATTTAATGCAAACCACTGAATGATAAACAGTACAAGCTGCAGCTTACAGTTACTATGAAAAAATAACCTGGCAAATAACAATATTTTATGTGTTGTATATTTAGATTTTCATGCATGGAAACAATCTGAACAGCTTGCACCAGCTGATCTTGCCTGAGATTCTGCCGTCTGAGCTGGGTGGCATGCTGCCTCCTTACGACATGGGCACCTGGGCCAGAACGTTGCTTGACCACGCATATGACGAGGAGACGGACTACTGCCCCGAATCCTATACCTTGTCTGTCAAAGACCTGGAGAAAGACCTGTCCCCCAAAACTATGAAGAGGTCTGTTACTTGATGTTCAAGCTTTTCAGTGCATCTATTTATCTATTTTTGCAGTTTTATTTAGCATAGTGGAATGTTTTAGAATTTAATGCAAACCACTGAATGATAAACAGTACAAGCTGCAGCTTACAGTTACTATGAAAAAATAACCTGGCAAATAACAATATTTTATGTGTTGTATATTTAGATTTTCATGCATGGAAACAATCTGAACAGCTTGCACCAGCTGATCTTGCCTGAGATTCTGCCGTCTGAGCTGGGTGGCATGCTGCCTCCTTACGACATGGGCACCTGGGCCAGAACGTTGCTTGACCACGCATATGACGAGGAGACGGACTACTGCCCCGAATCCTATACCTTGTCTGTCAAAGACCTGGAGAAAGACCTGTCCCCCAAAACTATGAAGAGGTCTGTTACTTGATGTTCTAGCTTTTCAGTGCATCTATTTATCTATTTTTGCAGTTTTATTTAGCATAGTGGAATGTTTCAGTATTATTTATATACATTATTATAGTATTTATGAATATATTAAATTAGCTTTTATTTTTATATTTTCAGATTTTTGTATTTTGTTGTAATTTTTCTTGTAATTTATTGGCTTTGTTTTCTATATATTTTATTTAGCTTAGTTTATTTTTAATTCATTTTTTAGTTTTAGTAAATGTAATACTTCAACTTATTTTTTCAACTTATTTAACTTTATTTCAGTCAGTTGCCAAGGCAAAATGTTTAGTTTTTAAGTTTTTTAAGTTTCAGTTTCATATAACGTTATTTTATTTGATATATTCTATTTTCAGCTTTATTTTAGTTACGCCAAACAATTTTTAATAGTTTTCATTTGAATTTTAGTTAACCTGAACACTGGTGCTCATTGAAACAAGCACGTGAGGTCACCAAATTGGCCATATTATGTATGTTGTTGTTTATTTCTAATACGCTTGTTGAATGACATCATTTGGTGGCTTGCCATGGAAACAGCATTTGCTTGTTCGCAGTCTTCATTCAAGTAGAATTATCAAGAGAGTCGCTCTGGATAATAAAAATAAGCAGCTTTGCTAGGGACGTAAAAGAAGCTGTAGCATTTGTCAAAGGAGTCACATTTGAGCTGCACACTGTATGTTTCTTCTTGGTTATGGTGCTTAGCAACCGACTCCCTAGTTTTATGATAAAATGCAGCTCTTCTTAATAAAATAAGCATTTTGGGATGATCTTACAGTCTGGGTTTGACCCAGTGACTTGAGCTTGTTTCACTGATCAAGACAGGGTGAGGTGTCTCGACTTGCTGGGCCATGAAATAAGCATGAGGGAGTGAAGTCGCTGCCGTGAGCTGCGTTAAATTATGCACTGTCTATACATGGACACATATAGAGAGTAAAAAAAACACACGTTATAGAGGTTTACCTGTGGCAAACATCTTACTTTCTTTCTTTGCCTTCTGCATCTTGGGCTGTACTTGTACAGAGATGTTGGCTACCAAATATAGCAGTTTGCAATGGCTTCTTGGCTCTCACATTTAAAGCAACTGTTTGCAGTGTTTGAATTCTCCCAAAGCATCTGGGGGACGCAGTATTTGGAAGAAAGTAGGTCTTAGATGTTTTTCTATTGCTAAGATCAAAGTACTGTTCCTTAAACAGCTTTGGCTATTAAACTAAACCTCCCAGTCCGCGCATAACACATCTATGTACATAAAAAAAAAGCTTTGGCGGAATCCTGCACCCTGTATTGTGAATTATTCTCTAGTGCTGTATTATTAACATAGTTTATCATGTTTTAGATGTGGGAACAGATCGCTGGTGATGATCTATGTATATATTGATATTCAATTCCATCTATGGATGCAGTCACAATCAGGTCATATATTGGGGCTTTGGTTTACAACAGTGAGAAAATGATCCCCTTAGACTCAATTAATAATTTATTTGAGCTGTAATATAATCTGATTGAATGTAAAAATACACATTTCATCTTATCACCTATAATCTGTCATAACTAAATTGCTTGTGTGCACGGCAGTTTTTGTATAGTTTATTTTATTCAATCAAAATGTGAAAAAATAGAATTTTGGCATTTTTAAAGATTTTTTTCTTTCTAAAAATACCCAAATATTTTATGTTTTTATTCATTACCCCCATATGATAAATCATGTGTCCAGTACATGATGCATTGTTGACTATATATATGTATATATATATGTATATACATGTACATTTGTTTGTGTGTGTGTGTGTGTGTGTGTGTGTAAAAAAGTAAAATGTCCATGTGACCCTTCCAGAGCAGACAAAATGGCGAAGTGTGGTTATAATTACTCTGAATAATTTACCCTTTGGAAGATGTATATATATACTGAACAAAATTATAAACGCAACACTTTGTTTTCCAGCCTAAGGCACACCTGTGCAATAATCATGCTGTCTAATCAGCATCTTGATATGCCACACCTGTGAGGTGGATGGATTATCTCGGCAAAGGAGAAGTGCTCACTAACACAGATTTAGACAGATTTGTGAACAATATTTGAGAGAAATAGGCCTTTTGTGTACATAGAAAAAGTCTTAGATCTTTGAGTTCAGCTCATGAAAAATGGGGGCAAAAACCAAATGTGTTGCATTTATAATTTTGTTCAGTGTATATATATAATGTAAAATATAATAAAAATATAAAATAATTCTAAAAAATAATAGAAAAATATTGTATATTATTCTTTTTGCATTTATATTGTTATTATTATTATTTACCATTAGTTTCTAGTAATTCTAAAAAATCCAACTTTTTTTAATACAATCAGGCCCAAGACAATGTTTTAAGATAATCAATTAATTTGTCAGTGCAGCTGTTGTCATTTTCATACTTGCAAGATGCATCACCACTGACATTTTACTTCCAGTCAGTGATGAATCAAGCAATATATATACATATATTGTATACATATATACAATACATATATAGTATTCACTTAGTGGTTTATATTTCGACTTCCTAATACTCCCTAAAATGCCATTGTGTTAAAATGAGTGTGAGCCTAGGAATGTCTGATTTTAAAAAGCTAACACCTCCCACAATCTTCCAAAGGGTAAATTATTCAGAATAATTAAAACCACACTTCGTCATTTTGTCTGCTCTGGAAAGGTCACATGGACATCACTTGCCAACACAGTTTTCTCTTGTGTTTGCATTGGGTTGCACTCAAAAAGCATGGACAGCTTATGTACGTCATTCTGTGATTTGTTAGTTGAAAAACAATGTAGTTCATTATCCTCAAGAGATATTTTGTGTTATTATGGTTGGTAGGTTGCTGTAAGTGATTTCAGACTTTGCCACAGACATTTTTCGCTGTTTGCTGAGTCTAGGTCTGCCACAGAGACAGGTGGGATTTCTCCAGGCACACATTTCAGTTACTGCACCTTTAATTTGTTCCTTTGGGGTCTTACTGCTGTATATTTTAAAAGGCTAATTAGACCAGTCATATCTTTTAAAGTCAACACAAAAATTTTAATTATTTACTTTTTGAATAAAGGAAAGTATTTTATTGTTAATAAATACTAAGATGACATGTTCCATTACACATCCTTCACTTTAAATGCTTGTGACATGCACAATGCATCATTAAGTTGTACCGCTGAGCATACAGTGCTCTGTTTATGTACCTAAATGTTTCATTGGGGTCCAAATATCTGAGAGTGAATGTTACTATTTGGTACCCACCCATCCATTTATGTTTCATATTTGGTATGTCCTCTTTTGCTTTAAAGGAATATTTCACTCAAAAATGCAAATCTGCTGAAAATGTACTGATTCTCAGGACATCAAAGATGTAGATGAGTTTCTTCAGAACAGATTTGGAGAAATTTAGCCTTTCATCTCTTGCTCACCAATGGATCCTCTGCAGTGAATTGGTGCCGTCAGAATGACAGTCCAAACAGCTGATAAAAACATCACAATAATCCACAAGAAATCCACACGATGTCAGTCCATTGTTTCCAGCTAAAATATCCTTTATCCATAATATTGCTTTTTCCAGAGGATAAAAGTTGTCTTGTCTGAATCAGGAGAGAATTTTTACAAGCAAAAACAGTCCAAAACAGTTACAAAGAAATATTATGGTGGATTTTGATGTGAGCAGACAACAGGGAATATACTTTTTCCAGTAGAGAAAGTGTTTTTATGGATTATGGACTATCAGTATTTTGACCAGAAACAATGGTTTTCACTTCACAAGATGTTAATTGATGGACTGGAGGGGAGTAGATTACTTGTGGATTATTTTTATCAGCTGTTTGGACTCTCATTCTGCCGGCACCCATTCACTGCAGAGGATCCATTGGTGAGCAAGTGATGCAATGCTAAATAAATTTATCCAAATCACTCTCATCTAAATCTTGAATGTCTCGAAAGTGAGTACATTTTCAGCAAATTAAGATTTTTGGTTGAACTATTCCTGATTTTCTTATTTGATTAGTAGCCTAGAAATATTACACATTATACATTCTTTAAAATATTTAGTAATAATTTAAAGAATGTAATACATTTTTTCGAATAAATGTCATTACTTTTCTCGTTTATTTTGAGGTTTAGATTCAATTTTGTATCCTGGATTTTCAGTGCACTCTCAGGATTTTTCATTTCTCAGTTGTGCATCTTGAAATCCGGTTCATTCATATTTTATTTATACCCACAGGTCCCAGTCCGTGGTGGAACCAGGTGTCCTGAAACGACCAGAAAAAGTGAAAAGCGAAGAAGAAAACATGCAGCCGCTGCTTTCTCTGGACTAAAGCTTTTAATTCCCCAGGCAACAAGGAAACGTCAAGCCCAGTACGCTGGGGAGGAGCGCACCTTGTTAACGCAAGAAAAAAAAATGTACAAAGAAAGGAAATGTTAAAAAGCGAAAGAACACACGAACAGCCTCCAGGAACACTGCAGAGAGCTGCCAGTTAAAATCATATTTTTGAAGCAAAGAGCTAACGGCGGGCGTCCGTATGTAATTGTCAAGTGCCAATTCAAATTTGTAAATACACTTCAGTTCTAGACGTGAGATTGAGGGAGTAATTGTGATATGAACCTGTAAAGACTGCTGTGAATATCCTTTGTGTGCTTCTCGTGATTATTATGTAGAACATGGTACTGTAGGATGGATAATCATGCTTATAAAGATTCACAAGCTTTGGGGTATCCTACATTTATAATCCCCAAATCAAGAGTCGCTCAGGAGTATTTGGAAAGGAACACATAAAGAGTCAGACAGGCATAAGCTACTTCCATTAAAGAAAACACCATCGTTGGTTTCAGTGTTTCACAGCAAATACCCCTTTACGAAGAATTTACGGATTTTTCTAACGAGCGTTTGCTAATATTATTTTACCACAACGTAAGCGGTGTTTTCCGTTTGGTATTCTTATATCCCAGAGGGGTTGAGTCACATTTAGTAGGCTTTAGCTGATTCTTCACTGATGGCCTTGTTGTTTACACTTTGTCGTAGAGCCGTGGAATATCGCTTTATTTTGTAAACCATTTCCATATTAGGCTAAGTTGGTTTCCAAGGCATTTGTATTCATACCGAAGACCAGATAGAGTAAAACAAAATACCGTCTTTGCAATCTTTCCAACTTCAGAGTCACTGCTTCTGAAGTTAAAGAAATAGATCACCCAAAAATTAGAATTCTCTGTTTATTTACTCACCTTACGTCATTGCAAAAAATAATATGAAGTGTTATTTTAGTATCACTGAGATACTATTATAGTTTAGTAATATTTTTATTATTTTATTAACTAAATGAATAGTTTAAAAACTATATGTGTTGATATATTTAATATACTGTATATGTTTCCAATATGTTGATATTTTTCCATGAAACATGAAAGGAGAGTTTTGGGGAGTTTGGAACAACACACTCACAGGGTGAGTAAGACGGTACATTCATTTTCAGTCGCTCTATTCCTTTTAAAGTATTATTTAAAATTCTTCAGTATTACAAAAATGGAATTAAACTGTAACACTAACACTGCGGTTGACACAGAGCCATAAAAAGGTGTTGTACAGTGACACATGCTAGTGCATGCTTCCACACGCTTATCTTGGTCATCTTATGGTTTAGATCGTGTGAAAATAGTTCACTCTAAATTATCAGCTGTTTTATGGAATGCTGTGTTGTCATTAGTCTTTGGCAATAGGTTTTTTTTTTTTTTTACAGCAGTTTAGTTTCAAGCCCAAATGAGTGAATTTAAAAGAATTTGTCAGTTTTATTTCAGGGATTTTTTTTATTATTTAAGTGTGTGTGTGTGTGTGTATGGAATAAGGGCAATATACAGTACATTTAAAATACTTAAAAGTACATTCAAATCTTCCAGGCTTCAGCTTTTTGCTGAGATTTTTCTCAATGGAAACAAATAATTACACATCCTCAAAGATCCTTTTAAACAAGTGGTACAAAATTCACAATATAAATATGTAATCAAAGCCTCAAACTTGTCTAAACTGTCAATAGGAATACTGAAGTTATCTTTCTATTTTGTGTGATACATAACGTAAAATTCTGTGGGCACAGCTTCTGTACAGTGGCTCAGTTTGGTCCTATTTTTATTTTCGTATTTCATATAAATCTACAACTCTTGAACTATTACACATGCATTGTTGTGCATATATGCTGAAACTTACAGTATGGGTGCATTGACAGCATCTAATGTCTCTTTATATACTATATATGCCTATTATGTTTTGTTCATCTGCCATTTATTACATACAATCAGTAATGTATCAGTAATTCCATGCATTTATCTCTAAAGTTGTTTATACATAAAGTAATGCTTTAGATGCTGTTAATACATTATGTACGTTTCAGTGTTTATGTAAACATGAAAAAAATCCCTTTTTTCTTCATCTGTAGCTTTAAACACTAAGGCTTAACAACTTAATCTAAACCAGATTTTCTCCTTGCCACAACAAAATTATGACTTTTTATATTTTGTGGACAGCTTGTTGTGTTAAGAAAGGTGATTTCTGGTTTTTATTCGCTGAAACTAAAGTCTGCCCACTCTCATGACTCACTGGGCTTCTAACATCCCAAGGAGCGAAAATTGTTTCTAAAACCTTGCTTTATCATCCTGAACAGAAACAGTGAGAACAAAAAGTTGAAAATTGGCTGTTTTGAATTAGAATGTATTTCCCAGAGAGTAATGTCACTACTTCGGGTAGAGAATGGCGTCATGTCACGTTGTCACATTCAGATGAGCAGGAAGGCCTCAAACGATGGTGTAAATTGTTACAGTATATATTCAGTAGAGCTGTGTTAATGCCATGATCAGTATTTTAATACACCTTGAATTTATTTGTATTCCTGTATTGTATATGTTTTTGGTCATGCTGCACTATGAACAGCCTTGTTTGTATTTTAGGCAATGGGAATGTTGATCAAATTGTCTCCATTTTTCTAACTTTGCTTTCTATGGATACGTACATGTATTGCCATTACAACCAAAGCAACCCTGGGTCAAGGAAATGACAATTATCCCCTGCTTTTCTAAAGACTACAGGAACAATACATTTGGTATTTCTTTGATTGTTGGCTTATCTTTCCATATCACTTTGATTGTATAATAGGGTGTTAGTGCTGAGAAGCCCATGCAGTATAGAGGTATTATCATGCAGAACAATACATGTGGTTTAAAGGAACATGTTGAATGGAAGTAAATATGTGTATATGTCCTTTCAAAATGCTGAGATAAATTATGTAACTGAAACTAAACTGCGAAAGGAAAAAAAGCAGCCAATAAATATTGATATACATAGTTTAAATCGATGAATCCGTGTTTCTTTGAATGTGATGTTAATTTTGCTTTGTTTTAACAGGTTATTTAATTTGAGGTCTATCAGTAGAGAGAGAAATTTATATTTTGGGGAGGAAATTATACTTTTATTCAACAAGGATGCATTAACATTTATCACAAGTAAAAGCAAACACACTTATAATGTTACAGAAGTTATATATTTCAAATAAATGCTGATCTTTTGAACATCAAAGAATCCTGAACAAAACGTATCACAGTTTTCACAAAAATATTAATCTACACAACTATTTTCAACATTGATAATAATAAGAAATAGTTCTTGAGCATCAAATCAGGAAGAATTATCATTTTTGAAGGATCGTGTGACACAAGATTTTAAAGTACTTTTAAATTTTAAAGCAATTGTACACATAGTTTTTACCTTAAAATGTCGGTTTATTCTGATGGTACTGACTTCTAGTACGGTGAATGGCTTCTGTTTCTTTCCCAAGCTCTCCCCAAAACTTCTGTTCAATATGAGAGCATGTAAGTTTGGTAAACCGGTACGAAATTCCGCGAAAATAAAGCATTACTTTATGGCAGCAACGAATGCACGTGTACAGTTAAGACAGCGGTATAGCCTATTTACGACAGTGAATTCCACCCACTGAACTGTAGGGGGCTCTAAAGTCTAGACTACATACTACTAGGCTACATGCTTCATACTACATACATTTAAATACTTTTAAAATATAGTAGTTATACATTATTATATTTTAAATTGTAATAATATTTCACATTATTAGCCTACTGTTTTACTTTTTAATCAAATAAATGCAGAGCACAAGACTTCTTTCAGTATTAAATCTTACTGACCCCAAATTTTTAAACGGTAGTGTAAATACGGTAAATACTTTGCAAACTGCAGTCCATCATATAACAGATACTTTATGAGAAAATCATGGTCCAATAGCTTAGAAAAGTAATATATAATTTGAGGTATCATAACCACACATTTTGCATATAAACAAGGTTTTAGAAGATTAGGAAATGCTCATACAGTCCATAAAGCCTTTTTAGCTTATGTCTGCAGCTAATAAGTTTAAAGTCATCGTTAACACTCTGAATGGACAGTTTGTTTGCTGAGAGTGCACAAAAGCGGTGCCAAAATCTTCCGGTTGTCCTGATCTCATTCTGTGCCGCCCACTCAGAGCGTCTGCTGTGGACACACCCTGAGTCCTCGAGTACAAACGCAGCACAAAACCACTGGCCTTCTGCATTATTTAGTGAGGGTGTCATCATAACAGCTCACACAATCAGACTGCGGCTCTCTGATGGCCACGCACGTGTAATACACTGCAGTAGAGAGTCTAATTAAAAAGCATTTGTCATATTTAAGACCATGTCGTACGTCTGCTGACCATAATGGTGCTTCCTGTGTTCATTTAAACAGAAAAGCCAATTTAGCTTCAGGATCATACCAACGATGATTGTACCAAAGTTGTTTATGGATAGAATTAGTGAAGGACTTCACAATAAGAACTTTAAAATTATATATTATATATTTTCAATTAATATATGTTATTTACATAATATTTGATATACAATTATATATAATAATATATGTACCTCATTATTACCTTTGGAAGGAAGTTAATGTATTATATTTGCATTTTATATTATTATTATTATTGAAAGAAATTAATACTTTAATAAAATGAATAGTTTTATTCAACAAGGTCCATTGAATGATTCAAAAGTGATAGTGAAGGCTTTTACACTGTTACACAAATAAATAAAGTAAATAAAATTAAATATTCTAACTAAAATGAAAAATTATAGAAAAATAGAAAAATATATAAATGTAAGTACAACAACTGTTTTCAACATTGATAATAATAAATGTTTCTTGAGCAGCAAAGCAGGGTATTATAATCATTTTTGAAGGATCACGTGACACTGAAGAACGGAATAATGGCTGCTGAAAATTCAGCTTTGACACCACAGAAACATTTTTTTTTTAATATATATAAAAAATTATATTTAACTTTTCATATTTTAATATTTTAAAAGTTATTTTATGTTCTTATAATATTTTACAATATTTATTTTTACTGCATTATTATTATAATTATTGAAAGGAAGATTTGTCAACATTTATATATGAGCATACACACATGGTTGTCAGTCATGCTCTGGTTTCCATATACTACTAAAGAAAAAAAATGTCCCACCCTTTTCTGAATTATTTATATAGAGCTGCTCTGAGCACATTGCGGTCATGTAGTTATCAGGCTGACCCAGATATCTTCACTCATCAGCTGATGTGACCTG